TAATAGCATTTAAAAATTCATAATACAACTCATAACCATAATCTTTCACAAGACATGTCAGGCCATCCTATTGTTCGCAGACTTACAGAGCAACAGATGGAGAGTGTTAAGGCGATGACTATTGCCGGTTCACAACCAAAAGCAATTGTAACAACTCTTCGACAGAGTGATCCATCAGTACTAGTTACTAATAGTGATATCTATAATGCGCGTGCAAGACTTCGACAACAGAATCTAGCAGGTCGCACTCCTATACAGGCCTTAGTAGATGAACTACAAAATGGCAATTTCTTATACGAATATGAATGTGATGATACCGGTTCTGTCACCTATCTCTTTTTTTCGCACAACGATTCTATTTCTCTTACCCGCCAATATCCCTTTGTACTTCTTATGAATTGTACCTATAAAACTAACAAATTTAGAATGCCTTTGTTAAATGTTATAGGTATAACTAGCTTTAATTCCATTCTTTTACCTGTTAATTATACATGCCATAGAACTATTTTGACATTGTGAAAGTATTTTAGCATTGATTTTTTTGATATGAAATTTCGAGTTATTTTAGAAATAACTCGAACATTTCATATCAAAAATCAATGCAAAGATACTTTCAGCAATGCCGAAATAGTTTCTATGGCATATATACCATTAATACTCTTTTGTACTCCTTATAAATTGTAGCCATAAAACTAACAAATTTAGTTAATTGTTATAGGTATAACCGGCTGTAATACAACATTCTATTCTTGTTTCATTTTCATGAAAGGTGAGAACGAAGAAGATTATAAGTGGGCTCTAACACGTGTTTTGCGCTTGTTCGATGGAGTACAGATGCTTGGCGTGGTTGTAACTGATAGAGATCTTGCTCTCATGAATGCTCTTAGTATAGTATTTCCTAGTTCAGCAAATTTACTTTGTGTATGGCATATCAGTAAAAACGTCCTAAAAAACTGTAAGCCGCTATTCCCGAAAGGAATGAATAATGAGGAAAGTACTGAGTGGCAAGATTTTCTTTCCAGATGGAATGATATTGTAGAATCTGAGACAGAAGAAGAATTTAATACAAAGTGGAGAGATTTTCGCTCTACTTATGCTAATAAATCCACTGCCATCACCTACCTCGAAAAAACCTGGATACCATGGAAAGAAAGGTTTGTAAAAGCATGGTCAAACACATTGTTTCACTTGGGAACAACTGTAACTTCCCGAATTGAGGGTGCACACGCTACCCT